AAGTCCTGCCATATGTTTATTCCACCCATGAACTCAGCAGCTGATTTCAGCAGAGGAGGAACCAAGTCATTCCTTTCAAGTCACAAACGAGTCTCCAGTCAAATCCCAAGTCCTCAAAGAGTTAAAGTTAATGAGATAATTAAGTGAGTAATTAAATGATGATTGTGCATTAGTGATGAACAGCTGCTGTTATTGAGAATTACAGAGGATCAGATGTTGATGTTTTATTGGTTACAATGATGGCACCATCATGAAGATCAGTGTTTGCTTTAGTTGTGCTCTTGACCCTTGACTTCTTGTCTCAGGTCTCTCTTTGTAATTAATGCATATGGTGTGGGAAGACAGGGAGATCAGTGCTTTGTGTTAACAGCTGTTAACTACTATCAAATGATGAGAAAATTATCAGGGACCAACCTGTTCATATCAAAGCTAGATTCTTTTTTTTATGTGTTTAGATTATGAATAACCAATGTTGATAAATTCTCCCCGTGCTGCAGTGCGTCGCGCAGCTTTGCCACACATATTTTAATGGGTGGATAACTATAATAAAACAGGCATGCCTAGGGCCAAAAGGCTCTGCTTCAGTATGGTTTGTGTCAAGCCATTCATTAATCTGGCTGTTTGATGAAGAGATAAAATGTAGTAGAAATAAACATGTTAAGAATCAATAGAAGCGGAGGACTATTATTAAGGTTTTTTTAGGACTATTATTATGTTGTAATGTTTGGTTGACCAATTAGCAGAGAGGGGCGTTTCATTCCCGCCCACATGTAGAGATCGAATATTCAAGTTGTTTATTCGTTTTCTATCCCTGAATGTAAAAACGAAAAATTAAGCCGGATTCTTGATTTTTCATTTTGTTTGAATAATTGAAAAACGAAATATGTGCCGTTTTTCATTTTTCAGATTTCAATATTAAAACAAAAATTGATTGGACGGAAGATACCCTGATTAGTTAGAACACTTAGGATTGCATTTTCATCATGACGCCGTGGGATATTTGTAGGAAAATTCAATTTGAAAATGCATTCCGAGCTGACCACGCCCCCCCTCCGTCACTCATTGCTTCAAGGCAGGGATTGGCGGAAGCGTGTTACGTTTGGATCGTTTGAAACATGGCGGCTGGAGATCTGATAAGATCGTTGAATTCACTGGCAGATGAAGTGGGAAAATATATGAAGTGTATTCCATGCTAAAATCAAACGTTCGAACGACCGACCGATCGAACGTCTAACCGAAGGTCTTGAGCTTTGAGCGTCTTACATTGCGGGTGACCCACGTGACGTCAGTGTCTTGAAATTAGCTGGTGTTTAAGCATTTAAGGAGCCAAGCTGCTGTGTAAAGACTATAAATGGACATTACAAGCATTACAATAATATTATTTTATACCAAAAATAATATGGAGCCAGATCGGCCTCAAAAATAACACATTTGCAAAACAAAATTCATAAA